CAAGACAGATACTTTAATATTTTTAGTTTACACCGCTATAATATGTGCCGAACTGCTTTTGAGTTATTGCTAGATGCTATAGAAGAAAACAGACTAATTACCTTAGGATTGCCTAGAACTAAACAAGAAGTATTAGATTATTTAGAAACCAGAAAGCAAAATATCGAACCAGATTACCAAATAAGTTTGGCACTTTCTCATCAACTAGGATTGGTTGAAGAGGAATTAATGATAGCTAGACGAGTCAACAATCAACAAGATAAACTTAATCAAATCAACAGCCTAGTTTATCCCAATCAACCTTTTGATTTCCAAACTTTCAGGGCTGAAATCAAAAGATTAAAAGTCCAGGATTTAACTAGCCAAATTCTCTTAAAGAATCAAGAATTAGAACAGTTAATCAATACTGCTAAGGAACAACTTACTAGAGCCGAAAAATATATTTTAGAACAATTAATCCAAAAGCACTCTAAAATTTTTCAATCTAACGACAATTCTGATAATGAGGGATTGAATGAACTTAGAGAGATTTTAAGTGAAACATTAATCCAAGAAGAATTACAAACTCTTTTAAATAAGCAAATTGAAATATTTACTTTAGAAAAGCATCTAAATGATTTACAAACTGAATAAAATAGCAATTGCTTTATGGAATTTCTAAGCTCTTTAATTTCAATCTTATTGTATCCTTATTTTTTTTTTTAAGTTCTTACTAGCTCTAAGATTGCGGGCAAATCTGAGAATTTGATAGTAAACCAAGTTAGTTGTGGTTGAAAAGTTTTGGTATTAACAAATACAGTTTATGAAGAGATCTTAACAATAAAAACCCAAGCATTTTTTTTCTCACCAATCAACGATCTCTCAATCTTTTCCATACATTTCCTTGACCACATTTCAACAAAAAATTATTTACTTCCTGATAGTATTTTCCTTATCGTAATCACATTTTAATCTTTTAATCTCTGCTCTAGATCAGTACAACATTCCCAAACTCCTTGTAACACAAAATATTAAGACTCTTCTTAGCCAAATAACAAACCAATTCAGTACAAACATACATTAATAGAATTCCATTCCTTGACTATACTATTTCCCAAATCTTCTTTTTGAACAAAAAGATTATTTCACAATTTTTATTTACATAAAACCATTCGATAGAGAGTGGTGTTATATATAACTTAATAACTTCTTGTTTATGTATGTAAATTAACTATTTCATTAGTAAATAGCGATAATTTTCTTTTCAAATGATTTGTCTTTTCTAATCTTTGGTAAAAAATTCAATATAAATAATAAATTTTTCGCCATAGGATAATTACATGAAATTTGCTCAAATATCGATGTTATCGTGCAAACATTCCGTTAGAATTATTCATATCTGCTGATTTTAGATAATAACTGAGTGCTCCTTTTCAACATCAATTCCGTACTAATATCAATAACCTAATTTACCAAATTGCATGTAAGCTTGGCAATTTCATCTGAAGACTGTTTTTTTAGGTAACATTTTAAATGTGAATGAAAAATTTTCGCTGAGTGAAAAAAGTTTTTGTTTATCAACAAAATATATCAGAATGAAATAAATAGATTTTAAACTTACAAAAATGGCTTTTCGTTTTATATATGTTACCGAATTAAGAATTATTAAAAAAAAAAAAAATTAGAATGAGCGGATTTAAACAGTTTATCATGCCGAATGGACAAGATCTAATATATACTGTGTGCAAAAAGGTTGATGTTGCTACTTTGTCGGGTCAAGCTATTTTGTGATATTATCATATGTTGATATTGTGCCTCATACTAACGCTTGCCTCAGATCATAGCTGACGCACCTCAGATGTAGATTGTTAGGTGAGGTGTGTAGCCTATTGATCTGTTAATATGCACAAAAATATGTATGTATAGAAAAAAAAAAGACATCATTGAAGATTGAACATGCCGAAAAGACTTAGACAGGAAGAATATGCTGCGAAAATTTAGGCAAAAAAGCTATATGTATTGAGAAAAAAAAAGTACGCATTAATTGGAAATAGAATGAACCGTGAAACTTTAGACAAAGAAATTCAAAGAAAAGAAGTGATTTAATGTAAAAGAATGCTACTGTTGGTGGTAAAATACAAAAGAAATTCAAGAATATTATAGGAGGCAAAGCGACGCCAAAGTGGTTCAAGATATAGAACGTTACTGGAGTTAAGAAAGACGTCAAAGTGATTTATAGTAAAGAATGCTACCAGTGAAAAAACGCCGAGATCCAAGAAATCAAGAATAAAAAAAGAGCCCAAGTAAAAGGTTTTTTTTTATTCAACTTATTTTACTCTCTAACTTGCACCTAGTGTTGGCAGGCGAAACTATTTTTGGCAAAAAGTGAAAGGCGAAACTAAACCCGGTGAAAGACGAAACCAGGCGAAACTCTGGCGAAATCCCTAGTAAAGTTGAAACCCCTGGGGAAAGTCAAAGATCAAATCCTCTAAGACTTTAGAAAAGACTGAACCATGTTAGTAAATCAAAA